ATAAATAGATTAAGTGATGTGCCTAACGTCTGTATCATGGGGCTCTTGCAATGGTGAATTATTTTTGGTAGGATTTATTTATTTTTAATAGTAATGATTTATATTAGAGAGAAAATCTGTATCACGGGGCTCACTCCTATGCTCTTGCAATGGTGAATTACTTTTGGTAGGATTTTTTTTAAATAGTAATGATTTATATTAGAGAGAAAAAACTTAAGAAATATGTTTTCTAAAAAAGGCTGTCAAGAGTTCTACTGGTCCGTAGTTTATTTCAGAGTCTCAGGTTGTCCAAATAAATTGTATTTTATGCTCATATTGGCTTTACAATTATGACTTTCATGATCATAACATTTTTGCCTTAAAAATGTTAAGTGAGATAGAAGCTTAGCACATCACTTTCCAGACAAACTGTTTTTAATTTAAATTACTCTGGTGATATCTTTATAGCATAATTAGCTGCGCTGCACTTTGGTATGAAATAATAGGTGCACTGTGTGAAATACTCCTGCTGTTGAGAATAGGACTTGCCTAGGGAAACAGCTGGTTGTGCAACTCCCCACATCGTTTCAAAAAGTTTCAGAGCAAACCCTGGGTGGCCTGATAAGGAGTTGAGAATGGCTCAGTCTAAAACAGGACAGAATTAAAGAGCAAATTTCTTTAGTATATGGTTTGGATGAAAGCAACGACCTGCACAAGCAATACAGAAGAGGCTGGGGTCCTAAATGGCTGACTACAGCCCTTTGCAAATGCTGTGTTTAAAAGGTAGCCTTTCTTAATACCATAACCTGTTCATAAACCATATTTACTCAAACTTTCTGCAAAGTACTTTGTTTCTAAAAGATCAAATTACACATAAAATGCCTAGCCATTTTACCCATCTGATTTTCCTAAATTCTGATTTTTGCAGAATATAAATTAATGCCCCCCAAAAAGTAATTATTAGGAAATTATGTTTCCAAATTATCTAGACTTAAAATCTAAAGAGCTGAAGTAAAAATTAAAAGGTTACATTGGAACTGAGCACTATAAGGACAAAGTAAGCACTGTCTTGAAAAATGTACTTAAATTATTCTGTAAGTCTGACTTAAGCTGTGCTTTAACTGCTGTAGTAATACTGTGTAGCAAGAGTTAATATTTTTAAGATATCCTGGAATAGTTAAAAAAGGAAAGCATAGCTTCTAGTATTCACAGAGAAGAAGAGAATTAAAAGTCAAAAGGTATAACCTGAGACTCCAACCTTGAGAAGGTGTTCCTGGCATAGTGCATAATGCTGTCAAAGTCATATGGTTCCCCAAGGGAGTTCACCTCTCCAGGCTCCATCTTCAAGAAGTTGTACTCCTGACCTATGGGTGATTGATAATTTAGAGTTTCTGTCATGTCTCTCTCGGTTAAGATCAAAAGCCAAAGAGGAAAAAAGTCAAAATCCTAAAATAATCACTCACTGACAATCATAAATCTTAGTCATTTGAGAGTGATTGCATGCTTTTATCAACCTGGAGTGGAGACGTTTTGCAAAACCCACAAACACCTATATTTAGCATTCAGAAAGAACATTTTTATTCACCAAACTCACGGGAAGGCCCCACACCTTACATTAGGTCTCACCTAGAATCCACAAAAATTACTGTCTCCTTCCTTAATCAGGCATTGGGGGAAAATCCATCCCACAGAAAACACTCCAGAAGGCTGCTTAGTGCAGGCTGGATACTGTAAAGACTTTGCTTCAAAGGCTGCTCTCAGAGCCCCCACACATCTGGTAAGTCACATATTTGAGAGCCCAGCTGCCATAATTTAATGAACGAATATGAGGAACAAAGAAGGATGATTCATTCATAATTCCAGTCAAAGAAGCCCTTTGCCCTAACCTGAGCACTGGAGATTTACTCCAGCTCATATTCACTCTGGTGTGAAGGAAAAAAAAAAAAAAGGCATTATTGAACAAAATTATCTGCATATACCACACTGAACAAAAAACAGCTGCCATGGTAGTCATGACTTCCTGATCCCATTTAGTGGCCTCGTGGGCTGGTATTTACGTATTTCTACTTATCTTATTTCACCTTTGAATCAGCTTGAGGTAACAGGAATGACAGACGCAAACAAATGTTCATTTTAGCTCCTGTTCTACAGGGTTCGTTCTTCAAGAAACTCCAGAAAATGAAAGAAACACCAAAAAGAAATGGGTAAAGGGTATGTCAGAATCTCTTACCAGGCTGGATGTTTTCTCTAATAATGGTGACATGGTCATCTCGGTCCGGCCGTGTATGTTCATGCCAAAAACCTATGACATGACCCAGTTCGTGGACAACTATACCAAATTTATCACAGTTTTTGCCAATAGATATAGCCTGAGGACCATTTCCTCTTCGACCCACATAAGAACAGCACCTGTAATTAAAACACAAACACAAGTAGAAGTTTTCATACACCCCACTATAATTCAGTTAAATTCAGGAAATACAGTTAAAACCTGTTGGAGGACAAAGTGTTTTAGAACAACAGCAGAATGACACATCAGGCAACGTATTCAGTCCCACAAACTCTCGATCTAGTGTTAGAACAACTACTTAGAAGCTATTAGTCATATCTAACGAAAGGTACAAACATAATACATTGACTTTTTTTAGTTCAAGGCTTCCTACGAGCTGCTTCCTACAAGGCTGTCACAGGTAGCCTTGTATTTCAGAAGGACAGAGGAACTTTTCTTCACCCAAACTATCAATAAAGCTGAAGTTAACTGAGATTGCCCTCTCCTCCCTATGTGCACCATGCATCGTTCCCACGTGGTTGCCTTGTATATTCAATAGCTGCATGCAGCTGGAAGTGCAAGAAATAAAACAGGGATGGTTTATTTGTGCCATGCTTCTCTTGGAGGTCTTGACATACCTTCACAGACTCATCATCACTCTGTTGCGATTTCTGCTTTACCTAGATCTTCAAGGTGACCCTACTTCATTATTTCTATTTCTAAAATCAGAATAGTGCAAGGGCAGCCCTTTAAAAGATTCACTTCGTAAAGGCTAGCATAGAGATGAAAATCCAAAAAAAAAAGAAAACAACTGAAAAATACATAAAATTCTGTGATGCCACTCCACAAACCCTCCTCATTCTGTTTTGTTTTTTTCCTGATGAGTTATCAGCAATGTTATCAGCAACAGCTGTAGTTTTAATATCAGGAAGCTAAACTGCTCTGTAGATCAGTGTGCCATTTCTTCTCCCACTCTTATTTTCTTGCAATAGGAACCTTAGTCCCAGAAAGTCATGTTTTCATGAAAAATAAACAAACTGCCTCACACAAGACTGCTCTTATATTTCATTCCTGTTTCGCTGTTCTTTCACAATTCCAACATAAATTTATAAAACACAGGTGCCTTTTTTTTTTTATCATTCACACTGTCAGGATTTAAGACGTCTACTTTTTGGTTAGAAAAAAAGTCTGCTGATGACACTAGCAAAGGGGAGACGGGCAAGTAAAGCAAATCCTAGGTAAATGGAAAACAATTTTAAATTTAATAAACTGATTTCTGTAACCCTTGCAGATCTTAAGAATTTCAAGTCAGCATTATTTTCCCAAGTAAGAGACTGCTTTCCTCTCTCTCCTCCGCAGTTCTGCAGTCAGGTGGAACACAGTAACACACTCCTCCACTTTTTTTAAAAAAATAAGCAGATTTTCTGATGCAACATTTATATAGTAAAATACATTTGGTCCTTAAGGAGGTTGATGTTACTGTGGAGCATGATCCTACCTATCATCTGCTTCTCTAGCAGATTCACAAGAGCACTAGCAAAGGCAAATTACATTCTACAGATGTCAACACTTGCTTCTTTCTCCCTTTCAGCTTTTCCCTTTCAGAGATTTTCAGTTGTTTTGGTACTTGGCCAGTAAGTCAGTCTTGGTTGGTCTTTATTAATTTGCTTGATACAGAGAGAATTTTAAAATCATCAAATGTGGAGATCAGAGGAATACCAGCATGGCAATTTATCTCCTAACACCTATCCTCAGCAAGCATCCTCAAAAGCGCACTGCTTTTGCACTGATAGTTAAAATCAAGGATGGTCATGCCCCAAAAGAGATAGCAATGGTTTAAAATTATAAGATCACACAAATTACTTTATGCAGGATTTGTTATTTTAACAGTCTGGAGGGGTTGCATCAAAAATTTTCAAACTGCCTTGAAAGCGCTGTCAGAAAAATTACTGTTCACATTACAATCATTCCTATCTCAACCAGTTCTCAAACATTAGCGCACTACACTGGAGCAAAGAAAACTAAAGAACACCTTCAGATTTCCTCCATAACATATAAACTGTAACGATACATAATATTTATACTGTACTAATACCTTCATAAGTACTGATATAAGTAATATTAATGAAAATACTACTGTAAAATATGCCCTAAAAGTACAGCTTAAATGACAAAAAGGAGCAACAGATTGCAGAAATTAAATTAGAATAAAATTTTAGAGTAGTAATCCCATTTTATCTCACAATTCCACAGTGGATCTCACCTTTGCACCTGACACGCTGACACGGCTGTACTTAACATATTTTTCAGACTGTATGTTTGCAGAATAAATATTTATGTCTACCGTGAATATGCAAACATAATTGAAGCACTACAGATATTTCCAACATCCTTTTTACGTAGGTGTTTATCTCTGACTAGTCACTCCACTATTTGAATATCTTTCTAATGTGCAATAAAAAAATAGCATGGTTCATATTCTTACTCATTCGGTCTCAGTTTGAGGGAAAAAATGTTTGTAAAAAAATGGTTTGGATCTGTAAGGAGTTCTTTTTTTTTTTGAATTTTTTTATACCATGCACACAATGTTACTTACTGTCCTATCATGTTAGGGTGGGAAGGCTGGGGCATCACACTTTGTATTCTGAGCCAAAGTCAGTGACATTTGCAGTAGCTCTTCATTCTCAGAAAAGTTCATTCATTTAAAAGGCCCTGCAAGGAAATTCTGCCCTTAGTACAGAACTCCCGATTCTTTGTCATAGGCCATTATATATAAGGAATACAGTTGTCAAACACAGTGCTAAGTCCCAGATCTTTTAGAAATCCTTGGTCCTTATCCTTGAGCACTTTGAGGAAAGGGCAAGGATGTGGAATTTGCCTCAGGCTCTACAGGAAGCCATGGGAGAAAACACAAAACGATCAGATGAAGGAATACACCTTCTGTGAAAATGTTACCATTTCCATATTGGTTAAACATAATTATTGAGTTACAGCTCCCTGCCTGTGTTAAGGTCATGTACATTATAGGAATTATGCTATAACAGCCTGGATTGTGCAAAGAGGCAAACTGCACTGTGAATCCCCTATGGTACTTTTAAGAACAGAAAAGCTAAGACTCATGTAGTTGGTGAAAATGCACCCTAGAGACTACTCTGTGGGGATGAAATCTTACTGACTTCAAAAACAAATCCTTTGCAAAACCCGTGATTTCCTTAAAACATAAGATGAGAATTTAAATTAGAAATATCTAATTTAAAATGAGACTGGAGAAGATCTCGGGAGTTCTCTAGTCCAACTCCTGCTCAAAGCAAGGTCAGATATTCAGAATCCTGAAAACATTTGCAAGAATTCAAAACCTTTAACCTTCAAATCACCCAAATACAACACATGGCTGGAGCACAATGGGTTGATGAATGTACAGTGATGACAACTACACAACTATGAAAAGTGAGAATAACTCTTTTAGTTTATAACAAGTTAAACACTTCTGCTGAGTGTTCAAGTTTATAAGCACGTGGAAACTCTACAGAGAATAAATGCAATGCAGAACTAAAGGCCATCAATCAATATTTACAGCTTAAAGCAAATCAATAGAGTAGTAAGACTGTGGGTTGCAAAATATCTAAGTACATTAAAACTATTGAAAATGTATTATGTTACTTACTTCATATGCAGTACATGTTTTAATTAGCTAAGATGTAGTTGGTGGCTTAAACATGTCCATAGGTTTTCAAAGAAAAATTTTGCACAGTGATACTTTGGAGAAATGTGATGGAGAAAAATGAGAAAGGGAAAATTATAAATAATTCAACTACTACGGTTTCTACAGCTCTGCTTTTCCTGACACTATTCACTACAAGAGCAAAAACAAACCCTGTCTGTTTTTCTCCTTTTACTTTATTTTGACCAGAAGGACTTACATGTTCTTTTAAAATTATGCCCTGCCTTGGTCGGGCTGTGGTCAGTAATAGCTGCACAGTGATGGCAGAATGACAGCATAGCTATAGAGCACATTAGCTTACTAAGAAAAACATTTTTGTTTTATTATGAAAGTAGATAAATGTGTTAAATATCAAATTATCCAGTTTACAAAATGCCAATTACCAAAAAGATAATTGTTTCTTATTTTTTTTTTTAAAAAAAAAGAGGTGCAAAAAGTCCCTTCTAAGCTTTAAGCGGCATTTCACAAAAAAAAATTAGATGTTTTCAAAGATCATTTCACATTTTATATTTGTGCTCACAAAAAGGAAGTTGGGCATTTTCAAGTCTGGCTAGTGATTTTGGCTACCTGATCTGGCATGTTTGAAATATGTTTTATTTTTGGAAAAAAAAAAAAAAACAAAAAACAACTTAAATCTTTTAGGAGTTTTTCCTTCAGGATATCTGAGCCTGAACACTGAAAACACAACATATTTAGAATTACTAATTATTATTATTTTTTTTAAGTGCCAGCCTAAATGTTTCTCTCATATCTGTTAAGATGATTTCAGAAGGTGATTTCGTATTTATATGTGAAGTTAAACTGTAAATAGTCTATGTTCAGAAAGAATACAAGCTTATTTAAAAACAAGCAAACAATACAGCCGTTTCCTTACACTAAAAACACAACATATTTAGAATTACTAATTATTATTATTTTTTTTAAGTGCCAGCCTAAATGTTTCTCTCATATCTGTTAAGATGATTTCAGAAGGTGATTTCGTATTTATATGTGAAGTTAAACTGTAAATAGTCTATGTTCAGAAAGAATACAAGCTTATTTAAAAACAAGCAAACAATACAGCCGTTTCCTTACACTAGTTACTTGCTTTCAAAGACTTCACAGAAATTACAGACAAATTCCTTGACTATTCTTTATAGTTCAATGAAAATTAGAAGCCACCAACACTAAGCCTTAAAATAGCAGCAATATGCACTGGTAGAGGGTCATTAGGATTTGCTAGGTCGAGCGTCCTGCCAAGCACATCAGACTCATCCAATTAAGCTACAAGATTCAAAACACTTCAACGGCTGCCCCGAGTCAAAGGGTAAGGAGGAGTGAAATAAATAAATAAATCTCTGAAATAAATTAATTTGTAACATCTTGGGTCTGAGAACATTCCCAGGTGTGTTTGGCAGAAAGCCAAGACTCCTCTGTGCTGTGTGAGCACTTGTCAGGCTCCTTAAATTAAGTCAACTGGTAGACTTTAAAGCTCCTAATCTCTTTAATCTTTATTGCACTGGACAGCAGTTAGAGACAGTAACTATTTATGAATCTCTAATTCCATTTAATCAGTCCAGCTGATCGATGATGTTGAGCAAAGAAAAAGAACAGACAGGGAGAAAGTGAAATGACTACAACAATACAGTCCTTCTTCTAAGTAATAATATTTCACAGCCACTGGCTGAAACAGTCTTAAAACAATATGACAGAAAAGAGAAATGGTAGGGTCGCTGCTGCACATTTTTAGAAAGCTGCACTCTTCAAAATGTTTTTTGCAGAATATCAGTTTGCCATGACAGCAACTGCACGAAGCTGTGAATGAAAAACTACGCAGAGCTTTGTAAACCGGCTAGTACTAACATTGCTGAAGAAGCAGGTTAAACAATTTTTTTTTTCTTTTGAAAACAGTGTCTTTCAATCACAACCCTTTCTGTATAAAGATAGATTTTTGGCCTATAACCCAGCTTGGGTAACTTGCCTATTGTCAGGGATCAGTGGAGTGGCCAAATGCTACAATTTGCTGTCCTGAAAGGACCTGACTAACGGCACCTACTGCTTCTTCAAGGACTCACTGGAGATTATTACCTAAATATGACGAAGAACAGTCAAACAAGTCAGTCCTCAGTTAACAGTTCCCTATTCCGGTGTATCAACCAAATCACCCTCACAAATTTTAGTTTATATTAAAACCATATTGACTGCCAAGGGCAGCAAGAACATCAGCAGCTACCACCTGACAGCGTGAATCAGCTCTAGTGCCACAGATTAATATAATTCTCAACTTCTTTTCCTTCCATAAGATGAGCACCTTTTGGAATAGGTAATTCTTTTTTTAAAGCTGAAGAACGCTACAAAAGCATACGTTGGGCAAGGAATTCACTTCCAGAACTCGTCTGTGATGTCTACTTAACATACTGGTAAGTTCAAAAAAGGTTAACACGTTCAGAAGCTGTCCAGTCTACAATATTTGGAGAAGCCCATGAAAGATTTGACTTTTCTCCATCTCAGACAACTTTCTCAAATACTCCTGCAAGTGGAAATCATCAGTGACTGCAATAAGTCATGCAAAGTTTGTCATAAAAGTACTTAAGTCTTTGGGGGAAGAACAAGAATTGCCACAAAGTCAGATCAAAGGCCTGCTGAGATGCCAGAATAATATGACTAATTGTTCTTTTTTAGTTTCACTGTATAAAAACGAGTTTGATCTTTTGCTTAGTAATATTTATTAAGAGCTTGTGACTAAAGGTCATTGCAGTTTGCTGACCCCCCCCTTTTTTTTTTTGGCTTTGCATACAGCAATATACTGTGTCAACAGGCACTTTTGGTGGGATGGGAGACACATAAGCATAAAGTAATAGTAGTAAACAAAGCATGTTTTGAACCTGTTTACAGATTTAAGTTTTTATTGTCCTAATAAACAAGCTGCATAAATATTTGCTATAGTAGACGCTATAAAAATAAAATATAAAAAAAAAAATCCTCTTAATATTGTATTCTTAATCTTATATCTGCAATGACTGCATGGATGAAAATGACTATCAGTAATTATAACGTCTCAAACTGCATAGTTAGTTATCTTCAGCTGTACTAAGAAACAGTATTTTAAAAGTAAATATGGAATTGTTCAGTGTCCTCAGATGTGCAAAATATTGCACACACCAGAAGGGGAAGCATTCTGCAGAAACAATTCTGAAGCCTACTATGGATCACAAACTGATGGTTATGAGCTGAAAATAGCAAGAAACAGAACAGATATCATGTTTATGGACATAAATGTGTGGATATGTGAATAAGCTCCAGCACTGGATCAACACAGGCAATGCTTCATGTAGACAAGTACGTTCCAGTCTTGGATTCTCAGTTTCAAGAATCTCAAGGACAACAACTGTGATCAGCAGCCTGGAAGACATGACTTCCAGGAAAGATTTAAGGAATTAGGGGTTGTTTAGTCTAAATACAACAAAACTGAGGGTGCAATAACAAAGTAACAGTCTCAGAATATACACTGGACTCCTCCAGAAAAAGGAATAATTTGTTTTCCACATCCATGCTGAACAGGACAAGAAGATAGTGTGCTTCAATTGCAGCAAGAAATACGTATTCTAGTTATTATTAAAAATTACTCCCCACTTCTCTTACATTAAGGATACTGAACCAATATATTTCCTAGGGGACTGTCAAGTATCAATTTCTGCAGATTTTAAAAATCAAATTAACAAGTCTCTAACAGCAATTACACAGGTATAGCTGTTTCTGTCTTGGGTATAAGACACCCTTCTGAGATCCTCTGCAGTCCTATGGGTCTATGAAAATCAAAACTTCTCTCTCATTCATGGCCGATATGTAAACTCTCAACATTACTAATGTGTCTATCCTTGATAACCAGCTGCTGTATTTTAAATATGCTTTTTTTTTCCACAGCTGCCTTTCTATGATGAGCTTCCCATGAAGTAATATTACACAAAGTAATATATAATGCCCCTTTAAAAATATTCTTAATGTTTACAGAGGCTCAATAACACTTTGTATGCTGTCACCCGAGACATCCAGAGATTCGGCCACCTGAATTTCCACATATACGGTTGCAACCCACTTTGTTTCCTCAAACGTGCCGTGTTTTGACGGGGTGCTCCTTGGGGCAGGGTTTATCGTTTTGTTTTCCATTGGAGCAGGGCTGAGTACAACAGCGTCTCCCTCGTGTGTGACTGCGAGCGCTGCAAACAATGTGCTAACAAACCGGCCCGGCGGGGTGCTGTGGGAAAGAGCCGAGATTAATTTCACTGTGACTGCCCATGTGTTAGAAAGTGTTTGCAGATGGTTTGGTGTCACTTTTGTCTGTGCTCTTTCCATGGAAAATCCCCCATCGCCATTGTATGCGAGCGGTTAGCACATAGTAGTCCTCAGTCACTCATACGAGACACTATTTATCTGGCACTTGCTAAAACGGCTCATGGATACGGGACCCCCCAAAAAATCATTCAGCTTCTACACAGACTGGCTCTGTAATCACTGGCAGATTCACTGCCATGCTTTTCTCTGTTCTTAATATTAAGGCCTATACGTTCTTCCCAAATTATTTGTAATTTGTAAACTACCTAGCAATAAAACAACAACCTTAACCACAAAAGCATAATGAGGACTCTAGAGATAAATACTGAGTGCATTTTAACCTTCTGGTTATAATCCATCCTTCATCCTAAAGTGACTTGAATTCACATCACATCAACCAACCCCAGGGATACTGCTTTGGCTGGAGAGCTGCTTGTTCTGCAGCTTGGTTGGGGGAATTAAGCTACAGAATTCACCTTTCATGAAACCTGAGGTCTCTACAGATATGCCCAAAGGCATGCAAAACCACTAAAAACTTTCAAAGTCTTTTACTTAAATGTGCCCTGCTTTCTACATCTGCAACTGCAGGAAATCACGACTATTATTCTCTGCTTTCTATTTCTCTCTCAATTATTTATTAAAGTCCCTGAAATATTATCTTCTGAGTTGCATAGTTAAATATGGCCCTGCAGGGCCTAAAAAGAAGCCCACTGTACATTTCTAACAGGGGTCCCCAGCAGATGCCCATGGGAGCAGAAGAACGGAACAGACACATAAGCACACTCCCCATTTCCTGGGGTCTGTGACTCCAAGACTTTCCAAGGCAAAGGTGATTCATTTCTTAAAATATTCTAGAAACTGGTTTTATTACATTATCCTGTGTTTTCAAAAGAATATCACAAGTATTTTAAAGATATAGTCCATTTAAACTCATGGGCTTTAGTAGAAAACATTCAGCTTCCTTCCTACAACATAGGGAAGTTATAGTGCTCCTCTACATCCCATCCCTTAAAAAATTAAATAGGCATGCAAAGTGATCACTAATCAGAAAGTCAGCATGGAAAGGAGCTGCTCACTAGACAGCTTACATTCCCCACAGAAGGCAGGAGAAGTATTTCCACAAGTGGTACTCTTCTTGGAAAATGAAGGTGGCCCACACAGCAAGCCCACTGCCTAGTGTATAAAATTAAGGATTCCTGGTGGAATAACTAACTAGCAGAGCTAATTGGGGCATTTGTAAGCAGAAATATCCGAGGATGGGAATGCAGTGATTGACAGAAAACTGCTCTAGTGAATTAAAAAAGACCCTGTTGTGTCCACTTTTACACATCAGTGACCTGGAAAAAGGAATGCGCAAAAAGGTCATGAATTTGCTGATTAGACAAATCTTGGCAAGCACAGTCAATATAAAAATAACACTTAAAACTCAGAATAATTAAGCTGGAAAAGAAATATGGGATACATGTCCATATGCAACTCAACAGCGAACACATGACATGAAGAAAGGTAAGAATAAATTCTAAGACTGAAATACATTTAAATCAAAAATGTAAATACTAAAAGCGTGACAGAAAGCCATGAAGAATGTTATCTAGCAACACACAAAAGAGGGAGAATTTCAAAATTCTTCTATACATATTGCATAGTCACCAAAAGGGCAAAAGTATACACTAACTGCTAATAACTTAAAGCCAAATTGAACACAGATATTATTTAAATATAGTAACTACTTATTTGCTTTCTTTTATGACTGCAAAGTAGAGAAACACGGCCAAACAGTGAAAATGCAAATACCTGCTTACACACGTACTTACCCACAGGGTCTGTATGTAAATACAATATAACTTTCTTCATCACTTCGTTCAATAAATGTAACGCACGTGTACTTCTCCCAGTGCCGCATGGCCTGCTTGAACATAGCGCGCTGGCTGCCTGAAAAAATTGTATGACATGAAATAAAAGAGTTTTGATCTTTGTTTTTTTTTTTTAAGCATATTTTGTTCTTTAAGATCTGATTTTAATATTGAGAATGCAGTTCTGGAAAGAGCTGCTAGATCCCCTTGTGGTCCCATATACCGCCAAGCATGCTCTTTGCTTTTTATATCTCTTACAAAGGGATACTCAGATTCATCAGGTCTCCAGAGCATCTTTACCTACAAGGTATCGATACTGTGTTACACTCTAGCAAACATAAAATCAGTGATAAAGAGCGCAGCTATGACACACCACAGGAAAACAGCAGTAGAAACCAAGTGTTAGCCAAGTCCTCACTTGGCATAATGTTCATTAAGCAGCTTTCCCACGATGAAATTGCGAAATAGACTATAGTTTATCTAAAGAAAAAGAAAAAGAAAATAGAGAATCCCTGGTTTCTGGGAGGGAAGGAGACAGGGAGGGAGGGAACACACTAGTCTTCAAATCTGGAGACCAGATTAAGCTAAGGCATGTAAACAAGCAAACCTGCTCAGGCATCTGAATTTAATAGTGCTGTCTTGAACACAGGCCAATCTCCATTTTTTCTGGTGAAAACCATTCAGAAATCAAATGATCTTCCAAGAGGGCAAAAAGCCTGGATTTGGTTAGCCATACCCAAATGCTTGCTTTAAAAATGGGAAGCATACTCCAAAACAAACCTATGTTCTAGATGCAGAGCCAGCCAGGGCAGTTCCCAGCCCAAGCCCCAGAGCTAGTTGGACATGCTGGCTGCACATTAGGTCCTTCAAGCAGTGCAAAGTGGTTTTATTGTCTTCCAAAAGACAAGGCCTGTTAACTTGGAGGCAGCACCTGAGAGCACAGCTCTATTGCTTTGTCCCATGCTAAAAATCCTTCTCTGCAGGGAGAGAAGTCAACTATTTGAACAATATTCTTGAAACTGCCACCTCGGGCTCCCTTGCAGGAGGGCCTGGTGCCCCTTCCACATCCCACATCCAGACCCCGACCAAAGGGAATGAGATGAACAGACAAATCACTGTCCATACCACTAGATCCTCAGGTTTTCCTCAGGCTGCCAAGACAACTGAAAACCAGCATCAGTTACAGTAATATTCTTTTAAACTTATTTAAACTTAAACACATACAAAAAATTCAAAGGTCATAAAAGGTCATGAGTTACAATAATGTCAGGATCCTGAGAACTGAAGGTTATTTCTTGCCCTTTTATCTTTTAGTAATATTTGCCAAGCTGTAGAATTTATCTTTCATTATTTTCATTATGAAAAAGGCAAAAATGTTTAACAGGGTATACTTTAATATAATTTACTGCCATTATTTCAAAAGATGGTAATGCTAAAGTAAAGGTCACATTTGGAATAGTTCTATATAAATACCAAAACTAAGAGTTTACAAGTAACTAAGCTTGGAAGCAATGACTGTTTTTTCCTGTGTGTGTGCACAGATGCTATAATACATATAATGTATGTTCTTTTCCTGCATCATTCTAGCATACAGTAAGAAAGATATTATTGCCTATTTTTCCCCCATCAGTCTTTGCTTTTTTCTCCTTTTAAGTAACCCCTTGCATCCACATTAGACTCTTTACATTTTTGCTTGTTTTCAACTAAAAATTATGTACATTTTCGAGGCAGTCATTCCTCATATCATATATAACATTTGTGAGTGACCATATGAAAACAAAACTGTGGAATTGCCAAACATTTTGGTCAGCTTGTTGACTGAAATCAGTTGAGCAGAGTACATATCACACCAGTCAAATCAGACATAGCCTTGTACTAAATACTCTTTTAGAAACAAAACAACAACAACACAGACTTCATGACATTCTGTTACTCAGGCTCTTGAAAATAAACTCACAACAAGAAATATTAGACAATGAAAAACAGCCTCCCCTTTCTAAAAGGGTTATATTTTTTATTATTAGAGTTTGCCTTTGGGAACAATTTTCTAAACTATGACTAATATTTTCTGAACAGATGTACTTCAGACCTGATCCAACAGAAATCTTTCTATTGAATTCCACAGATCCTGCTAAAAAAAAAATAATATTTTTTTTTAAAATAATTATCCTCCTCCTTCTTTTCAGAAGTGCAAAGCTTACCGGTAAAATTTCCACCTATTACATATGGAATGACACCCCCTGGCCATATTCTTTCTGTTCGTGATGTAGCAGCTCTGGGAAATCGGTTTTTCTCATTTTTCCCTGAGAATTTTACAGTTGCTCTTCCTTTAGATGTGTTATTTTGCTCAAAGCCTGTAATGATATTTAAAACATAGAATGAGATCATCAAAGAACCAATAAATAATACATTTAGATAGAGAAAAAGAACAATTATTTTGCATCAGGTCAAAGGCAGATTATTTCTTTATATACTTTAAGAAAAGAACATTGCTGTTACATAAAACCTACCACTACTTACTTAGTTCACTAAAAATTCCTTGAAATGGAGCCTAGATCTTCCTTTTTCAAATGGATAGGCAACATATTTCTACATCAATTTAGTACCTTAAATATATCAGTCTGCATAACTGCCTTGAAGTCTTCTCATTGAACAAAAAATATTCTTTAAATTTCCATACACATACTATATACCAGGGCCCACCTGCAAAAGCAGTTACAGTGCTCTGGTTAATTTTACAAGCGATGAAATGATGCACTTAGGCAAAATGTTGTATGATTAAAATAGAGTTTTACGTATATTCCTTTTTGAGGAGGGAGGATTCATAAAATGCCTAATACCTGGTGAAATAGTAAGTGTGAGCACCATCATATCCAGAAGTTATAGAACTTTTGTGGAGCTTTAAAGCTATATATTTTAAACTTCTCTATTTGATACAATAAGTAGAGCTCTTAGAAAAATAATAAGAAAGAGGGGTTAATATCTTCCTTACTCTTTGAAAGCCTGTTTATGGCAATAGTGACAGAGAAAGTGTTAAAGCACCATCATCATTAATGATATATTACACCAAGCAGCCTGATAATTTAAACAGTAAAAATACCAGAGCCAAATCTTCGTATCCTCTCTATAAGTTGGTAGAGGGCACCTCGTTTTTTTGATATCCCATGTTCTGCAAAGCCACCTTTAAAAAAAAAAAGAAAAAAAAGAGCTTTTACAAAGTTAAAAATACAGAATACCTACAGTTGTGAGGAGCGATTAGGAAACACTCTCTAAAAACTGCTATATATCTTTAAGGAAGCTGAACATTCTTCAATGACTCGCATGCAAATTCTTCATGTATTCTTGACAATGAGACAAAAACATATTTTTAGCTGAAAATTTTCTAATATGCATTCCAGAACGCATGCCAAAATGTCTTTGTTATTTAGACAAGTCATGACAACTACATCATCTAATTATTATTTGAAGCTTTTTTTCTTCCTAGTGACCTTGACATCCTCGGAGTCCTATTGAGCGACGGCAACAAGCTCCACTCTCACAGCAATTTCCTGAGCACATACCATAACCTTTCCAAGGGGAGGGGGGCAAGCAAAACACCCAAAAGTTTGAACAAAAACAACAAAAATGATAAAACACAATCATGGCTTCTTTTACCCCAAAAGGTATGAGAGTTTGTCAGCAAGCTCAATGCACTTCAGTGGCTTTAAAACACCGTATACGAGTATATCTTGCAATAACATCTCTAAGGCATGTGCATCTGTGCTGTTCCAATAAGCGATATGGAAGAAAAATTAAGCTAATAAACAACTTAACATACGTCATGCCATTTACAGAAATATCTCAGATTTCTAGAGGTAATATGTACAAATGCCTCCACAACATCCTCCTGTTAACATGTTAATCCTTTCATGACTGCAAGCACCTCTGAAAACATTAGGAAGCCAGACAGAATAACAATAATAATGAAAATTCTGCATTGCTCACAAATTATCATAATTTTCAGGAAGTTCCATGGGTTTTAGAAGTTTGTAACAGGTTACATTTTAAGATACAGTATCTGCTGTGGAACTTCAAGAGTTTCAAACTAGTGTTACTGAAACAAAAATAATGGGATAGGAATGAAAAGATCCTTGAAATCTCTAACCTCCATAGAGGTGTCCTTCCCCAATTTCCGATTACATTTTTCAATATTATATGTATTAAGAATATGTTTACTGAATTGCAGTTTTTTAAATCATATCAGAGATGACACAATTCCATATAAGGCAAGTGAGCTTGTGTGGACGCTCAGTGAAAAACAATGTGCCTAATTATTTGGATTACACTGTCACATAGTTGCTGGCTCCCTTGAGAAAAATATTCCAAATTTTTTAAAAACATTTTCAATAGATGAGGTAATTCTTCAACACATTCCTTCACAAGAAGATATTTGGTGAGCTATAATATATACTACAGAGGACATAAGCATCCTGTTGCTCTTATTAATGTAATTATCTCTCATGTTGACATTTATCTTGTGAAAAAGAAAACAGAAAAAGAAGCCCGACCAAAAAAAAGAGAAAAAATGTCCTTAGAAACCAGCAGAGATCAGGAAAAATGAAAAAAATCCATCATTTAATCAATCTGAGAAACTATTACACCTTTATTATTTCTAGAAAAAGTTACTAAGTTATATATTCTATTTAGAAACTGAAAAAAATAGAAAAACATCACATTTGTTCCCATTCTAATCTGCTTTATTTTACATGAATAATTTACAGTCCTGCCAAGGCATAATCTAAAAGAGTTTTTAAAAAGTGGATTTGCTGCTTCTTTACATGCTCTGGGCAGGAGAAAATGAACAACTTTGGCAGTTTGCATTGGCATATACAAATCGATTTTTGTATGTTTCTATTCCGAGCAATTATGGGTACGACTTATACAAAGAAGACCCATAAAATGATAGGCCTGTGCTCTGAGAAACTGGGGATACAAAGACCTGATCCTGCAAATCCAGGCAGACAATCCTCATCAAAACGAGCGCTCACATCGGAGCTCCGAGCTCAGGATGCGACAAGTAGGCATACAAAGTGCTTCAAAAAATAAAATCAAAAAAAAAGTAAAAAAAAAAAATCAGACACATAACTCATTGTCACTGTATATGCAAGTAAGGTTAACTACTATTTAAGTAAATTTTCCTACTTTATTACTTTGGCCTCTTTTTCCAGTTGCTATCTAATATCCATTAGTTGATATCCTCTTCAGACCACCTGAAGCAAGAAAAGGCTGCAATTCAGCAATGTTCACTAAAATGTGCAGTTTGCAAAAAACAAGCTGAAGTCCTACATCGAAATACTGTAAACTTGGGAAAATAATGGTGATTTAAAGTGGGAAAAGTCTGAATTTGTTTCTAACTATTTAAAAAAAAAATCAAGAATGACAAAATGTTCAGCGAGGAGCAGAACAAAACCAGGAGCTTGGGCAGAATTTGTTCCAGAGTCCAGTTCTGATGACCAGTCCCACGGATCCCTCTTACTTCTGCAGCAAAGGTAGCAAATGCAATGCAAACACATCAGCTTGCCCCAAAGCAAGGTGCCCATCGTAGGCAAAGATAATGCACAAATGCCAGGGCAGATGGAGAGAGAAAATTAAGCAACTGAACATAAAACATAATTTAAAAAACAGCTCATAAATATGTTATTTTTTGTGGCAACACACAAAAATGATCTTTGTCAGTTAAAAACAGAAAAGTCAGAGGCCAAAGAAATCACTCAACTGCATCCACTTTAAAGGGAAAGGGCTGATCTTGCTCTATGTTTTGCCACCTAAACTAGAGTCTGAAATACTTCAAATCCAATTAAAACTATTTGTTCATGGTGGAAAGCACTGATTCTATTAAGATTTTTATATTCAGTCTTGATCTAAAAAAGATCAAAAATGCTTCTGCTTGAAAAATGTGTGGCTTTAGAAGGAGTTAAAAAAAATCTCAAACTATTATACAGATAGGCTACTCAGAACAACTAATTGTAAGGCCAAGTAAAAATATTTTGTATATAACAGAGCTGAAAGATCAAATTGAAAACTGTAGTTTTTGTTGGGAATATTCCTTTCTGACCATTCCTCAAAATGATCCATTGTTTTTCCCCACATAGCAGGAATCATCCAGTTAACGCCAGCTAAGCTGATCAACAAATACAATATGCTTAACGGAAAATAAATTTCAATTATTCATCTATACATTTTCTACCAGCACTCTTTCACACATTCCTTCCTGTAACTCGTCTCGGTAGTATCATATCCTGAAAGTTTATTAAATCTTAATCCTGAGTTTAAAAATCAGAGCCAAAAAGAACTTTTTTTTTTTTTTTTAAGCAATACATTCGCACACACATGTGCATATTTCTCTATAAACACATGTCATATTTTTCAGCTCTCTATCCAAATGTCTACCTGTTAATAGGATTTCAGCGTCTGGCACTAACACACTCTATGTTAGTAATAGCAAATAAATATGTGCTAGAATTTGTCTGATAATCAGACACTTGTTAGAGTAACAAGTGAATTTGAGCAAGGATAACACGTTCTAGCATTGCTCCTAGGCCTGCAGGGAGCTGGGACAGGAGCAAGCGGAGAAGCTCTAATCCCAAAAATCCCAGTCTCATCCTTTGGATTTCATGCAGATCCTCCATAGGCCATTTTGGCTGATCTTTCTGGAACTTTAGAGACAAAAAAGCCAAGTTTTGTCCAGCTTCCTTCCCCCCATAGCCACTTGCAAACAGGACTTAAAGTCCCTAAGAACTTCCATTCTTCAGCTACACAAGATTTTTCTTTTTTAAATCAGAAATGCAAGAGAAAAAATAGCTCTTCTCTTTGTTTTACTAAAATAAACATATACACACCATTCAATGATTTTTTAGAAGTGTAAGCTAGCATTACCCATGAAGTTATACTGACTTTCCACATTTAAAGCAGAATGACTTTTCTGTAAAACTAAATAATATGTTAAAAGAGAGGCAAACTTATAATATCATACCTGTGTTATGGCCAAGTCTTTCGTTGGAGTGCTGCGTAAGGTCAATTGTCCTGTCAATTTGAAAGATTTTTAAGTCTTCATCATCTAAGGCAATATCTCCCCAAAAGACAGCTTTAAATAAAAAAGAGCTCAATTTTATTAAAAAATGTACTTGCACATTAAAACCAATCTGAAGACTGTACAACCCATGGAAAAATATGCAACAAATTGGTATTCACATCATATATATATGCTTATCAATCTATATTTCTAGCCAAAAATAGAGAACAACCTTGGAAAAGATAAATAATTTGTTTTAATATTCGCCTAACCTCATACAGGCTTTTAAAATTTTCTATACATTGCAGAATGCAATCCTATAAATGTAATGGCAATTTACTAACAATTCTTCAGCATACCCATCATTTCTGTACATAAATGTTAGAGAGAAGAACATACACAAACATGCAGCATTTGAACTGCCAAGCCACAAAATGTACAGTACACAGAAACTATAAGTTTCCAAACATTTTCTCCTGAAAAATATTTCATGTCAGTTTTAGTATGTTCCAATCAATTTCCCTATTACATTATGTTTGCCTCAGATAATATATCTGTTTATATACCTTGCCTATCTGGAAAAAAAAAAATCCTTCTTTTATTGCACTATTAAGTTACCCTTTTATAGTTACAGACCCTAATAGGATTCTGTCAAATACATTATTTTTCAAAGCATTGTTCACTTTCTTTTTTAATCTACTCTTTAAAATTTTGCTGGGTTTAATTTTACACTAACAATCGACAACTGAGAAGTGCTTTAACAACAACAACAAAAAACCCACACAGAGCTTGGTTTTCCAGCATCTTTTCCAACAAGTATTTCAAACATCTTACTTTACAAATAGAAAATAGAGCTTTTTGTCCAAAACATGCTAGGAAGACATATGCTGTTATACTAGATTTCATGTAACTTTACCAGTGACTTTATCAGTAAAATTAATGTTTTTCTGCAACAGAAGAGAAGGATTTACATGGAGCTCCTAATAATGAAAATATTCTTCAGCAGTATGTGCAGTTCTACTCTCCTACGGCTCAAAGCCCTCAGCCAAACATCAGTTTTAAAAGGCCTTATGCAACTAAAACACAAAACTGTGAATCAGCTAAGCTTGCTACAAAAAACCAACAGGATCCCAAGCAAGACTATACACATGTGCGCACATGTTAGAAAAAAAATGTCATCCAGGAAAGAGTACCTTAATATTATCATATTATTAATGTGATGATTATGCAAAAACAGGATTTATGAAATTAGAACAAGCAAATGTGCTACAGCTATGTCTACTTCTCATAAGGATTTAAGACAGAATAGTGCCTGTTAAGACATCTGCATCTTGCTCTTCCAGCAAGACAAGTCACTGCAAACATCCAAATATTACTATGACTGCAATAGCAAAACTTAGCTATAAGCTTTTCATGATTTATTCTACAGTTATTGATATAAAGCACATCATAAGGGAACATTTTCTAATTTAAAAAAAATACTGCTGACAGTAGTAACACTGATGTAAGTAACATAGTATAAAATATAAGTAAGTAAACAGTGCTAGTGTTTGCCCCTTAATCCCAGCAGTTTAACACAAGAAAATGAACTCAAACCTTGGCATAGCATCCTTACTGTGCAGCTACCAAGGACAGCTCTAAGAGTGACACTGTAAAACACCGTTACGATCCAACAAACATAGTTTTCCTAAAAATAGGCAGAAATTAGTCAACCTGGCATGTGAGCTGTGACTAGCACCACAGGTAGTCCCTGGGTCCAAGGACCTATGCAGTATTGACAGGAAGATTAGTCCTGGTTGTATGGAAAAATTGTCAGTGAGAGGATTAAGGAAAATTCAGAGGACAACCTCAAAATCTGGAATGCTACTGGGACTGGAAAGCACAGGAAATTTATCCTTCATCTCCTTGACGAAATCTGCCAAAAACTACAGCAAAAATATGAGCGCTGAGAGACAAAACCTAAGCTCCTTTCATTGCCCTCAACAAGAGCTTGGGCACCCATCGCTTTCCAAAATCTAACGGGTAACTCATAGAAGAAGAGATGCCAGAAATTGTGCTGGCCCCGGCTCAGGGTAGATACTCGGCTAAACCTCTATGGGCAGCAGTTTTAATCAGCAGCCTCTTCCCCAGCTGAGTCACGGAGTCCCTCCCCGTGCCCACACGGCTATTTGCAGGGTAGTCTGTCTTGGTGAGTCATTTTATCCCGTACAATCTATTTTGTGCCTTACATAACTGTCCCCTGGAGCTCTGAAGAGCAAAAGGAAGATTTTGAGCTAAAGAAGTAAAACCTCCTGATGAGGAGTGATGTTATAATTAACCTGAGCGTGTTTCCATTTTGCTCAGACCAGTTGAGTCTTTCCGGAATTTCAGGCGTAATAAACTTGTTTTAGAAAGCATTACAATGACAGCAAATTCATTCATTAATTTCAGAAAGCGGCATTTTCAAATCTCTGCATGACTGTTTAGGGCAACCTCCAATTTAGTTGAAGCAGCTCATGTCTACACACCTAAAAAGGGACACAACACCTCTCACTAAAAGCTTCCACTGTCCCGTGTACTGTAAAAGACACACAATATCAACATTTCTGGTGATTTTGTTCCATGACGCAGGTGAATTCACCATCCAAAACTTCCACTAAACTTCCAGGTAACGCTTCTCCCTAAGCAGCTATGTTAGTTCTCCATTCCCTCTAACTATCACCTATTTTATCCCCAGATTCTTATTTCCCTTCCCCACAAGTTTTACAAGCTGTGTAAGATAACTGCATCCAAAACTTACTTCATTTGGAAAGTAGTAACACATCAGTCTCAGGAAATCACTAAAAATACCCATAATTATAGGGCAATACTGCTAGTAGTTCACTTATATACATTAACAGAAGTGAGGACAAAATGATGAAAATACTAAAAGCTACAGATGAAGAGTTTTATAAAAATCATAGCTCCCTTACTTTCCCCAAAAGAAATGAGATAATCTTGAACTTGAATCAAAACCAATTTACACATAGCAGGAATTTACCACTGCAGAATGAAACAGCCTGGATGCAACTATTAAACAGTACAAAATAAAGAGATGTTGACAGCTCCATTCACCGAATAAGAACACAAACTTTTCCAATATAATAATTTGTGTCAATGTTTTCTCTGATACAAAACAGGATCATGAACAGAAATGAGGACCCAGGCAGTGACCTTGCAGTGGCTTAGGAGAGGCCACTACCTTCTTGGAACATTTTGTTATTACTATTTGCAAAGCCAGGAGTGATTCTCCATGACCTTGGATTGTCTCTTTTGGATATATTCACAGCTCTATCACTAAGGCTTAAAATATTTAACTTGAAACATATTGAAAAAGGTGCTATGATAATAGTCCATCAAGAATATTTGAAGTCTCTGGAATTCAGGAAAGACTAGGAGTGTGTATATTAAAACATATAAAACCATTGAAAATTGGGGAAGCCACAACTATGCATTATCAGACCAAGATTTCCTACATGCATGAAAATTATAAGTGGTTTTACTTGTTACTTGGTGATGGAACCATGAAAATCCTAAAACCAACTGATACAGATTTCATAGCTTAGCTTTCAGTAAAGTGATTTTTCCCAGAATAATATTAAGGGAAGAATCATACAAAAGTCTGAAGTTGAGTCAAAGCTATTTTAGTTGTCAAAATAACAGTATTCAACATCACATCTATAATTTTCCTCTCAAGACTGTCTTTCATGGTAAAAATCCATTTGAAGAGTCCTTATAAATATCTGAGACTAGGTAGCTCATACAAAAATCAGTCTTGCAATCCTATTCCCACTTCCCTCATTCTACAAATACATAGCTACTAATACCTTTTTTTTTAAAAAAAAAAAAAAAAACAGCTTTAAACACTTCAAAATCTGATTCAGTCTTTCTTCCCACTCTCTCCTCAAAAAAGGCAAAAACCAAAAACAAAAACACCCCAAGCAATCGGAGTTGTGTGAGACAGAGCCAGGACACCACAAGTGTTAGATGCGTGTCTTCCTGTACTATGGAGCTCAGGATATTTCAGAAACCCTTCCTAGGTTCAGAGGAATCATGTCATAGCATAAATGGATTATTTTAAGTGGTATGCAACACTGATGCATGTTCCAGGATTTGAAAAATCAAAGAAGTCTTCAAAACTAAGAATTACTCTAGACAAAAAATAAATAAATAAAAAATAAAGAGGAGTATTTATGACATGCTCTATCAATCAGGGTGAAAACTTCACTTACCAAGAGAGGCATTTGCATACCTTGATCTCTATGAAAGGACACTTTGCAAGAGATGCTCTTCCATGACCCAACACAGATGTTGGCCCACTCCTACTGACCCAACTACAGCTTTTCTCTTGCTCCTCATTTCAAAATAGGGACACTTTTTATTTCATTGTTTCCTTTTCTGCGGGGCAACTTTCATATTCCTTTAAAACAAGTACAAAGCAAAACAAGACCTTCAAGAAAACAGAGGCTGCTTTGCCAGGATCCTGAGTATTAGGCAAACGGAGAAGCTTCACTCCTCAACCTGAACCGTGTTTTGAGGACAGGCTCTCTGGCTCCACAACAGCTCCTTGCTCAGAGACCCGGTTCTGGTTAAAGTGTTCAACCTGCCAAGCTTCCTTGAGGTCCTGACTTCCAGCAATTATTTTTTTTTTCTTTTTTGGTAAAAGCCCTACATCAATTCATACTCCGTGGCGAGTAAAACCTATTCCTCACATAATGTGTTACCTGACTAGGGGAATGCAGTGAACATTACTGAGCAATAAGACCAACGATTGATGAAAATACGGGGGAATTGCAGCCAATTTCTCCATGTAACAAATGGTAACCTGCTTTATATGTACAGAAATGCAAAAAAGCCATCATTTCCTGGACCTGCTATTCCTTATACTACCAGCATAAGGATAACAGCAAAGAAAATACTTAACTCCCCTTTCTGGAAATGGCATATGTCATACCTAGAGCCACAGTCCTCATATTTGTAGATCCCTTTATTTTATTTTATTGCTGTCCCTGGTCTCCCCGCCAAATGCTGACATTTCCCACTACAGCTGCCTT